GATAATTAACCGTTAAATGTGATTTACAATACCTATCTTCAACGATTGTAGACGAATCGTAGGTGTGGAGGAAATTTAGGTTTCTCTCTAGCCTTACTTGCACATTAAAACTCTATTACGTGTATTTCATTACTGTGACATAGATGAGTATGTGCACTATTATATGCATAGAAATGACCCATTTTCTAATGAAGTCCATAATTTATTATCACTAATCACGGTAATGAATTAGAAAATTAATTCTCATAATTTGACTAAAATGATTGCTTCCAAAAGAATATTCATTAAATCGAATGTATCACACATGAACATGAACCATTTCATATAGAACCAAACTAAAATATTAAAGTTCCTCGAAAGGAAGGGGTAGTGGTGCTCTGTCGGTCACGTGTGGTCTGGCTCCCTCTTTGGCCGTCTGAGATCTGTTGGTCTTGGTACACCACTGTGGTCCTTGAAATGAGGGTTTTTCTCGATGCTCTTTGCTCGGTGCCCGTGGGTAGTTTGGATCAGCTGTGAGGGTAGGCGTTTGGTGCTTATCAGTGTGTGGGCCTGCCGTTTTGCTGCGAAGTTTTGGATTTGCTAGGGCTAGGGGTCGCCTTGGGTTTCTCACTAGGAAGGGGGGATCTGAGAGCAGATCTAGTGTTACCGTGACGGGAGAACTTGCGGGAGGGTGCAAAGGGGTGAGGGGACTCTCGATTGAAGCGGGTCATCTGTTCTGCCATGGCGGTGGATAACGAAAGGAAAGAAATGAAGGATTTAAGTTCACGATTTGGTTCTAACCTATGATTATCTTAGAAAAAACGCGGGGCTATCAACATTGAGATGACGGATGTCGAATGAGCCTTATTGAGGTTCCAATACACCATGATTGTAGAAATGCTCACTTTCAAGGATGTGAACGGAGAAGTGTTTGTTGACTGCTTTATGTCACTTTGGCGAGGACGAGATAGGGTCTCTATCAGGGACATTAGAGAACGGAGGTTCCTTGCATGTTTTGCAGGACAACGCGATCTGCAAAGGGTGGTAGACTTGGACCAGCCTTGGACCTTCAAAAACGATCTTGTGCTAGTGGCAGATCAAATGGAGAACGGGTTGAACATATAGGCATCACTCTCATTGGGTGTTTTATGGGTCCAATTGCACAACGTTCCGATGCTCAGCATGACTTAGGTGGTTGCCAAATCCATTAAAGGTTTGATGAGCACTGTTCGAATGGTAGACACGTCGGGAAGCCGTGACTGCATTAACAGATTTCTCTGAGTGAAAATCAGATTTAATGTCTGAAAACCCCTCATACGAGGGACGTTTGTGAACTTCCTTGATGATGGCAAGGTTTGGGTTGACTTTAAGTATGAATCGTTATCGAAATACTGCATAATTTGTGGGCTGTTAAGACATCCAACAAGAGTTTGCAAATACCTCCAGGTCGATAGAAGGGGAGATAATGAAAGCTCTAGGGATATGGAAAATGCATTTACGTTCCGAGGATTGGATACAGTGACAGACTTGTGGGGCAACCCTTTGGGAGCTGGTTCACGGAGCAAGGCATCAATGGGGTCAAAGGGGGGCGGAGGAGCTCGGAGCATTGGAAAGAGGAGCGGAGTGACGAACCAGATAGGGGAAGACGATCTAGTCGCTCTTCAACGACTTCAGGTATGGGGAGCCCCATATAGTACAGGGGTTGCAGATCTCAAAGTAAGAGCAAGGTATAACTAAGGTGGAAAATGAAGTCATCTACACTGCTACCTCGCCGAGTAATCCTCGTTGGTCTTCGAGCAAAAGTGGGTATGGGGATACTAAGCTTGCTGACAAATTCTGCCGCCAACAATTGGAAGAGAATGATGCTAAAAAGGCTAGAGAAATGGCATTTAACGCAAGGTTAATTGGATTAGGGGGCATGGTTACTGTTGGAGCTTATCATGTTGTCCTTCATGAAATTCCTAAGCAGGAAGAAAAGGTGAATGTGGCTAATGTGTCTTTGGAAACCAGCTAAGGATTTGATTTAAACCTTGTGCCACTTGCTATAGATGGTATATATATGGGGATGATTGGTAAGGGGAGGATTCAGATGTTCAGGAGAGTGGAGTGGCAGATGTAGAGGGAGACATGGCTATAGATGATGATCCGTTCGAATTGGCACTTATTATTGAGGCTGTGATGAATGAGCACAAAGGAAAAAGCGATTGTATCAAGATGTGGAGTATACTTTGCCAATTCAATGTGTGGAACCTAAAAGTAATCGGCTAAGGAAGAACTTATTTTTAGAGGCGGAGGAGACCAGTCGTGAGGGGTCTTCCAAGTCCCCATGAACCTAATCGCATGGAATTGTCAAGGTATCGGGGGTGACCTGACAGTTGACAATTTGCTGGAGCACAATCGGCTCTACACACCCCTGACATAGTAATCATGCTAGAAACAAATAACAAAAGTAGCCATTATGGGTATCTTAAAAGGAGACTGGGAATAGAGCATATGCATGCATTGGAACCAAGAGGAATTAGTGGCGAGCTGTGCGTGTTTTGGAAAGACGACTCACAGGTGATTTTAGTAAAGTCTGAGGACTTTGTGATTGAAGTAAGACTATGGGATGAAAATAAAAAATGTCATTGTTGCTTGTTTTCCATTTATGCCAATATTGATGACAAAAAACGGAGGGACCAATGGGTGTGCTTGAGCAAGCAGATAGAAAAAGACAGGGACAGAAGTCTCATCATCGGGAACTTCAATGATATCTTGTGTAATGAAGAAAAAGAAGGCGGCAACTATAGAATGACGTCTAGTTTGCGTGACTTTAGAGAGTTCGTGGCTCGAAATGAGTTCATGGACATAGGCTATGAAGGTTGTCCCTTTACATGGCGGAATAACAAAGAGGCTATACCAATTCAATAGCGACACAATCGAGGGCTGACAACCATGGGGTGGCATGATCTTTACCTCGATACCAAAATCAGGCACATGGTGTTGGAAAGGTCAAACCATGCACTGCTCTTCACATGGTGTTAAAAGGGTCTGACCATGCACTGCTCTTTCTGTCCACGGAAAATGTGAAGGCGGGAGGGAAGAAAATTCACTTATGATGCGCACTAGAGTAAGATTGAAGAGTGCCGTGAATTGGTGGCAAGAGACTGGATGGATAAGTTCAGAAGTTCACATGTCTTTCGATTTTGTGAAAAAATGAAAACTCTCATGAAAAGCTTAAAATCGTGGTATAGAGGGAGAGGCAGGAACTCTAAAAAAGTCATTAAGTAGTTGAAAAAAGAGATCAAAGCAGCTTATAAATCAAGCAGGTTTACCACGTATGAGGTTAAACTAAAGGAAAGGAAGCTTCGGGTCATCCACAAGAATGAAGAGTCACACTGGAGAGTGAAGTTGAGGATCCAATGGCTTAAAAAGGGAGATAAGAATACGAAGTTCTTCCATACGCAAACTCTGAAAAGGTGTAGATTTAACCAGATTTGGGGATTGGATGACTCGAATGGGGTGTGGCATGAGAGTGATATCGGGATAAGTTTTACTACGACTTCCTATTTTTCTAAGCTATTATAGACTAGTAGGCTTAGTCAACTTGATGGGATTGGGAGCTGTTTGGAAGCCTAGGTGGCACTTGAGGATAACCTCGCACTGACGGCACCAGTGACAGATGGTGAAATTGAGGTGGCAGCCTTTCAAATCCCACATACGCGTGCCTCGGGTCCTGATGGGTTCTCTAGTTGCTTTTACCAGGATTATTGGGAGACAGTGGGAAAAGATGTGGCGAAGATAGTCAAAGCCTTCTGGCACTCGGGCACGCTCTTGTGGAAACTAAACCATACCAACTTGGTGTTCATTCTAAAGGTGAAATGCCTGAAGAACATGACGCAATATCGACTTATTGTGCTATGCAATGTAATCTATAAGATTTTTGCCAATGTACTTACAAATAAATTAAAGAAGGTGATGCCGAAGGTGATTAGTGACAATTAATCTGCCTTTGTCACTGGGAAGCAAATTCAAGACAACATACTAGTGGTGCATGAAATTCTGCATTCCCTGCTTCATAAAAAAAATGAGGATCAAGCAGGCATGGCAATAAAGTTGGACATGGCTAAGGCTTACGATTGCGTTGAATAAGAGTTCATCCTAACTATAATGGCAAAAATGGGTTTTGCGCCGCTTTTTTGTAGATGGATTAAGGAATGCATCTCCATTGCTTCCTTCAGTATTCTAGTCAACGAAACCCCGACCGGGTACATTTTGCCGAAGAAGGGGTTGAGGCAAGGAGACCCATTATTTCCCTACTTATTCCTTCTCTGCACCGATGAGTTTTCCATGTTGATCATGAATGGTTTGGAGCGGGGTGTTCTTAATGGTTTTAGGGTGTTGCCAAACGGGGTAACGACAACACCCTTGTTCTTTGCGGATGATTCAGTGTTGTTTGGTAATGCTACAGTGGATGAGGCGCAATGAGTAGTGGATGTGTTGAAGATTTATGCACTAGGGGTGGGTTCAAAAACCCGAAAATCGAAAGAAAAAAAATCGAAAGTCGAACCGAACCGAAATCGAAAAAACCGAACCGAATTGAAAAAACCGAACCGAACCGAATTCTTTTGGTTTGGTTCAATTTTAGTGATCTAGAAACCAAACCAAACCGAACCGAATTAATTAAATTAAAATTTGTATTTAATTATTTGTTTTGGGTATTATTTTTAGGGCTGGAAAAAAATCCCAAAAATCCCAAACCAAACCGAAAAAATCCCGATCCCAAACCAAAAAAATCCCAAACCAAAAATCCAGAAATTTTCGGTATGTAATCCCGAACCAAACCGATATTTTCGGTATGGGATTCGGTTTTGAATCTCAAATTTTCGGTATTCCCATACCGAACCGAAAATAAATATTATATATATATATATTTTTTCTTTTAATTATAAAAGAATTATTTCAACCGTTCATTGTTTTGGATTTAATCTTTGCCGTTCATATGTTTTTAGGTCTGAATACCATTTCACAAACTTCACTTTCGTTCCATTGTTTCTATCGAATCGAATAGCCGAGCCCTAATCTCTCATCTCTGATCTCTCCCTCATCTAGCCGACAAGCCCTCATCTCATCTCTCTCTCCCTTGTTCTTCTCAATTCCCACACCGACGTCGTTCCGGCCGAGCACGACAAGTGGGTACACCCCCCTTTCTCGGCCAACTTGGACTCGAACGGTGACGTTTACGCCAGGGGGTCCCAGGACATGAAGTGCGTCGGGATTCAGTACTTGGAGGCGATTCGACGGCTCAAGGCTTCTGGGTTTAAGCCCAAAAGGTCTGTTTATTTGTCATATGGTCCTGATGAGGAGATTGGGGGACACGACGGTGCTGAGAAGCTGGCTGAATCTAATGTTTTCAAGGGATTGAACGTCGGAATTATGCTTGATGAAGGTGAGCTAATCAGACCTTTTGAATTTTTTGATGATTTGGTAGAATGGACCTCTCTCAGTGGGATTAAACTGTTGAGGAGGTAGATTTCATGTCCCAGTTGCTTGAAAACTTTGTAAACCAGACATCAATCATCGGAATAGATCCAGATTTGGCCTGGAGGCAACTATGAAGGTTCACGTTATTGTTTGTTAATTTGATTATGCTAAATACTAATTTTATTGTAATTGTTTGCTTTGTATTTTTGGTTTCTGGAATTCTGATGTTTGGTGGTTATTTCGTGTTTTGGTTAAAGCATAATATGTTTGGTGGAATTCTGTATTTTTTCATTTATTGATATCATATTTTGCCATCACCTGTGCCATGATGCAGGCTCGGATTGTAATCCTTGAGAAACCCACTGCCGTAAATCTGCCTTAAGAGCTGCAATTTTCCTAGAGTCATATATATATCGATCAATTACTCAACTTTGATGATAGAAGTCATAACGTTTGTTCTGCTTGCTTCCAGGTGGGTCTCTTTTGATGGTTTTCCCAACATTTATTCACTTTACTGTACTATGCAGAACAACTCAAACATGATTTCTTTTTTCACAATCCCAGTTTCTGGAATTCAAGACAAGTATCCAGACAATTTTGACCTTGATATATTAACAATGGTCGTGAAGAGAAAGAAGAAGATGATTATAGGTTGTACCATAAGAGGGAGATCAATGAATTTCGTTACCCTTAAAAACGGTTGAATTTCATTTATTGTGTTCTGGAAAATGAGTATTCAATCGCTACTTTTCAGTGTTTTCTATTTTTGTTCTTCTATATAGTTGCCGAGTTTTATAAATTTTTCTTCTCAAGTTGCATGCCTAAGGACTCTTCTGCTTTCGAGCTTTTTCATACTTTTAAATCGAAGTTTAAGGCCATGGGTACTCTCTCCGGGTATCTTCTGGTGTTTGTGTTCCACTGGTCCTACCTCTCTCCCCTGCTTACCCTGGTGTCTTGTTTAATGTCTTGTTGAACTGTCAATGTTTTTTGGCCCAAGTTATTTTCAATTTGGGAGGTTCAGTTTTTAACCTTAAATTGTATCTCTTTTGTAGGTTGAAGCGGTACAAAGGATTCAAGGAGGGTCAGAACAGGATTCTTGTGGCAACTGATTTAGTCGGTAGAGGAATTGACATCGAACGTGTTAACATTGTTATCAACTACGACATGCCAGATTCTGCTGACACTTATAATTCTTATATACAATACTTATATTTCATTTGATGTTACATTCCCGCAGCAGTGCGCGGGCAAAAAACGCTAGTGAAAACTAAGTGTTAGTATTAATATTAAGTAGAGATTAGTAGAAACAAGCCTTGCCATTTGATTGGCAGATTTGATTGGCAGATTTGTAGAAACAAATTGGCAGATTGGGCCTAAAAGCATAATATGTCAAATTTTAGTCTAAAAGCCCAAAAGCCCAAAACCATTTCGGGATTCCCGATTTGTCCCGAAATCCCGAAACTATTTTGGGATTCCCGAAAATTTGGTTTAGGATCGGTATTGAAATTGGGATTCCCGAAAATTTCGGTTTGGGAATCGGGACAAGTGTTTTGGTATGGGATCCCATACCGAACCACCCCTAATTATTTTCTAAACCCAAATTTTAAGTTAAATTGTGCTAAACCCAATGTGTTGCCAAACTTTAAGCTCAAAAAAAAAAAAAAAGGCCTATAAAAACTCTAAACCCTAACCTATTATTTCTCCCCTATATAAGGTTCCGGAACCAAACCTTCTCCTGAAGTACCTACATCCATCTCCATAGCACTGTATACTTCTGCCCCAACTTTCTTTTCCAAATCTACTTTCATATAACATGTAACAGAATCCATAAACATTTATTTCGGGTAGATTACTTGGGTAATTTGTGATAAAAAAGAATCCAACACACACTAAATAAATCCACCCATGCATTACTTTTACTAATCAAGTTGTCAACATGCAGTTACAAGCAAACATCCCTGATCTTTGAACAACATCATACAATTGAATTTTTCTAAGTCATTTGTACGATTTTTGTGTTGTGAGGTTGTTAGTTTGGACTTTGGAAGACTTGATTGATGATTTTAGTTCAACTTTAAATGTTTATTTTCATTGTCTTTGATTCTAGTTAGAATGCTTATGTTATGATTGTGTTGGATATGTTAAAATTTAAAATTTCAATGTTTTTCATTTTTTGAAAAAAAACAAAAAACAAAAAACCGAACAAAAAAAAAACCGAACCGAAAAAAAATGAACCGAACCGAACCGATTTGAACTGAACCCACCCCTATTATGCACGAGGATTTTCCCAGGAAATCAATATATCTAAAAGTTCGATGTTCTTTGGCTCGAAGACTACGAACTGAACCAAGGAGGAAATTGGGAGAACTATGGGCATTCAGTGTAAGGCGGATTCGGGAAGTACTTAGGTTTGCAAGCAGATTTTGGCCACTCCAAAAAAGTTATCTTTGAGGAGGTCCGGGAGAATATTGAGACTCGCATAGCGGGTTGGGCCAAGCAGTTCCTGTCCCAAGCGGGGAAGGAAGTCCTTGTCAAGGCGGTGGCTATGGCTATGCTGAATTACGCCATGAGTTGCTTTAAGTTACCAATTAGGGTGTGTAGGGATATAGAGAAAGTTATTCGTAACTACTGGTGGAGAGGCAATGAGCAGCAGAAGGGAGTTCACTGGATCTCTTGGGATCAGTTAATGAAGCAAAAATGGTTCGGAGGCTTGGGCTTCAGAGATATCCAATGTTTCAATCTGGCTTTCATGGCCAAGATTGGGTGGCGCTTGACCCAAAATTCGTTGTCTCTTCTAGCAACAGTTTTGAAGGACAAATACTTTCCAGGGAAAACTTTTAAGGATGCTTGTAAGGGAAGGAATACGTCTTGGGGTTGGAATGGGCATTTTCGAAGCATGTAAGGTGACACAACAAAGCTTAAGGTGAAGGGTGGGCGACGGGACCAATATCAATATTAGGGAGGACCCATGGTTCCTTAAACCTTCCATGTTCAAAGTTAGGCCACGGGTGAGCCTGCCAAGGAACGATGATGAGTGATTTAATTGACCCGACCTCAAAATCTTGGAATACTGATATGATTGCGGCAGGCTTTAATCGGGATTATGTGGCTCCGATCTTAAGTATCCCTTGAAGTAGAACTGATTGTCGTGATAGACTAGTGTGGCACCACACTGTGAATGGGGACTACTCAGTTAGGTCCGGGTATGGGGTGGTTGTGTGTTTCATGGAGAATTGAGCCTTGGGGAGGAAATGACAGGGCTCATTTAGCGAAAAACAGAAGAACAACCAAGTGTGAAATTTGATTTGGAGTTTGAAAGTCCCTAACAAAATTAAACTTTTCATTTGGCGGTGCTGTAACAATACGTTGGCAGTCCAACTTAATTTTTAGAGACGACACATGAGGGTTGATAATGCTTGTGGAGTGTGTAGCTCGGTGGATGAGTCGAAAAACCATCTATTTTTTCGCTGCGATTTCAGTCACCTGTTTTGGTTATGTTCTCCGTTCCAACTAAACTCCCATGACTTGGTTGGTGCTGACTTTTTAGCAAGTTGGGAAAATTTCTATAATAGGGTCAAGGGAAGGGATAAAGTTGATGAGATTATGCAAGAGTTTACCTTCGGCTTGTGGAGACTCTGGAAAAACAAGTGTTCAACGGAGTGCACCAGCAGCCTTTGGAAGTTTTGGAGGTTTGGATGAGGAATATCTCTGAGTTCAAAGATGCTACATCCTGGGGTACTATGGGTGAGTGTCCAAAGAAATGGATGATAACATTGGCTACGGCTCGTGGGGAAGTACATTGGAAGAAGCTGGAGTACGGGTTTATCAAGGTTAATACTGATGCGGCCTGATGTAAGAACACTCTGCGCGCGAGTGTAGGCTGGATTAGTCCCGACTTTACCGGCCTGCTTCAAGCTGTAGGAGGCTCGAGCACTGGATTTTGTCACACAATAGTTGCTGCTGAAGCATGTGCGATTCGTGATGCCATGCTGGCTTGCATTGACAGTGGGTTTGATAAAGTGATTATCGAATCCAATGCCAAGGTGATTATTTAGATGCTTAGGAAGGAATTGCCTCATGACTTTAGCCTTGAATGTGTACTTGGTGATATTGAGATTCTAGAGCGAAGGTTGACGGCTGTATCGTTCGCATTCGTGCCTAGGGAGAGCAATCGTGCTGCTCACTCAATGGCTAAGTTCATATTTAAGGAAGGTCGAACTTTTGTCTGGGATTGTATTAGCCCGGAATTTTTGTTTAACATACTAGCTTAGGATGTAAACATTTCTATTCGTCTTTAATATATCTCTATCTTCGAGAAAAAAAACTAAAATATTAAAATATTAAAATATTATTTCAGTGCGACCAGCCTTTGCCATAGGTTGCAAATATAAGAATAGGTGTCTAAGATCTTAAGTCTTGCATCGAAAATATCCTTAAAAGGGCCCGTCGAAATTAGGAGATTCATGACAAAGATAAATATATAGGGATGCTATCCACACACTCATTTTTATTTATCACACACTTCTCTCAATTTTTAACTATTGAATCGAATGAATTGACGAAAATCAAATGACAGAAATTAATAAAAAGTGTATAAGAGATAAAAATGGAAATGCAGATAGCAACAATCTAAATATATCTCGTCAGTCCGACTACTGCATGCATAGACATCACTCAATGCTAACTTAATAGGCTTCTAAGCAATCCCTGAGATGACAGAGTTGTTGCACATCTTGGGAAAGAAGCTAGTCTGACGTCGAAACTTGATTGAACTTTGGCGGAACTTGTGTTAATTTTCTTTCATGTCTTAGTATCTCTTTTTTATTTGTTTATTGTCTTTTTAGTGTAAGATGAGTTGAATATCAGAGTGCGCAACGAACGAGACTAACAAAATATTAGGAATATTATTAAACAAACAAAAATGACGGAATGGCTACAAAACTCTAAGAGGCTACATTGTGAATGACTTGTTCTCAAATGAATAACAAGCACACTATTTATAATAAACTAACCCTAATCCTAAAATGTAAGAAATCAAAACCCTAATGCTAACGGGCTAAGCCCAGAAAACCAAATATTCAAATAAACTAAAATCCTAATATTTTCCTACACTCCCCCCCCCGGTCAAACTCCTGGCGGTATACGACATGGGTTTGCGAACAAGTAGATGTGGACTGACTCCGTTAGGCGGACTGGCAGGCATGCAAACTTGACTTGACTTGACTTGACTTGATTCTTGATTCTTGACTCTAGATTCTTGCTGGCAAACTAATTATGGTTCAAACTGATTCTGATCAGTGTTAAGAGTATGAAAAGAACCGGTCACTAAACGGACGAGATTTCCATATCTCAATTGAAGCAACAAACGAACAAACACAAACACTATCATTCGAGTGGTCACAATTCCAAGCACTCGAATGACGGTCACAAAACAATCTCAAACAAGCCAAAAACTCGTGTGGCCTAAACACAAACTTAACCATGTTTTTCCCTTTGGCCGTGTGGGCCTAAAACAAACAGGCAAATTTTTTTTCCCTTTCTTATTTTCTTTTCCTTTTTCCTTTTTTTTCTTTTCTTTTCTCCTGCCTTTCAACTTCTCTTTTCTTTCTTTCTTTCTTTCTGGGCAGAGATTCCAACGGATTCAACATATGGCAAGGTGCAACAACTATCGGTGAAGGATGGTGGTGTTGCGTAGCAGGTCTGATGTGGGCGAGAGCAGTAGGCAGTGGGGCA